GTTTGTGATTGTGAAAGGGAGAGGAGATATTGTTATGCAAACAAAAACAGGTATCAAACTCATTCCCAATGTTTTGTATGTGCCTAATATAAGCCATAACTTGTTGAGTGTTGGACAAATGATAAAAAGGAAGTATGTCCTGCACTTCCAGGATCAATTTTGCACAATCCTGGACAGTGAAGGCAATGAGTTAATGAGAGTTAGGATGATGGGAAAAAGCTTCCCTATCAGGCTGAAAAAACCAGAACCAGAAGCATATGTTGTTAATGTGGATGAGTCAGAACTATGGCACAAAAGATTTGGCCATTTCAATTATCATAGCCTTAGGGAAATTCAAACCAAAGAATCAGTCTGTGATCTGCCTGAAATTGCAAAAACCAAAACTATATGTGCTACTTGTCAACTTGGCAAGATGAGTAGACTACCATTCCTTGCAAACAAAGTTGTTGTGAGCTGCTGAGAGGCTCCAGCTTATCCACATGAATGTGTGTGGACCTATGCAAACATCATCCCTAAATGGAAGCAAATATTTTATCCTTTTCATTGATGACTACTCCTGGATGTGCTGGGTTTACTTTTTGAAACTGAAGAGTGAAGTTGTAGTGGTGTTTGAAAGGTTTAAACTATAGGTTGAAAAACAAACTGGTCTAAGCATTAAAAATGTCAGAAGTGACAATGAGAGTGAGTATACCTCCACTGAATTTGAGAAAATCTGCAGACAAGCTGGAATTGTGCACCAATTTAGCTGTCTCTATACTCCACAACAAAATGGAGTCAGTGAGAGGAAGAATAGAACTGTCATGGAGACGGCCAGGTGCATGGTGGCTGAGAAGAAGCTGCCCAAATCCTTTTGGGCAAAAGCTATAAACACAGGGGTCTATTTGCTTAATAGACTCCCTACTAAGGCCTTAACTAATCAAACACCCTATGAGGCCTGGTATGGAGTGAAGCCTTTGGTTAGAAATCTGAAAACCTTTGGGAGTGTGTGCTATGCATTCATTCCAGCAGTTAAAAAAGCAAGTTGGATGAGAAGGCTATGACAGGGATTTTTATAGGGTACAGTGAGCAATCCAAGGCCCATAGAGTTTATGTTCCAGCAACTAGGAAAATTCACATCACTAAGGATGTGAAGGTAGATGAAAAAGGGATCTGGAATTGGAAGAAAAATGAAGCTGAAGAAGACACAAGAGAGCATATTGCAGACACAACAACAGGCAGATTTGATGATCTAGAAGAGGCAGATTTAGATGATGATTTTCCAATCAGGGGTACAAGGTCTCTGGCAGAGGTTTATGAGAGATGCAATGCAGCCTTGCTTGAGCCTGCAAATTTTGGGGAGGCTGCTAAGTCAGAGGTCTAGAGGAATGCAATGGAAGAGAAGATACAAATGATTGAAAAGAATGGCACATGGGAATTGGTTGACAGATCAATAACTAGAAAAGTAATCCAAGTAAAATGGATTTATAAAAAGAAGCTAAGGCCTGATGGATCAGTGTACAAACATAAAGCAAGATTAGTTGTTAAGGGGTTTGCTCAACAATTTAGAGTGGATTTTTCAGATACATTTGCACCCGTGGCTAGACATGATACAATTAGGCTTCTCCTTGCCTTGCCAGCCTAATTTGAGTGGAGAATCTATCAATTAGATGTCAAATCTGCCTTCCTCAATGGTTGGCTCAATGAGGAAATATATGTGGAGCAACCGAAGGGATATGAAATGGAAAGGTGATAATCCGAGGATTATACTAGTTTATTTAAGCTTTCAGGCCGGATTTTAGATACTTCTTAGTTCATTTATGCCTGAATTCCTACTTAATTCCTTATATTTATTGTTTTATTCTTAGTTTAAATTGCTCCTATTAATCCAAAAGAATTTGATTGCTTCAACTTGAAAACAGTAGGAAACTTAGTGCTTAGCGAACAATCCTCGTGGGAACGATACTCACTCATCACTCTATTACTTGAGCAACTAGTATACTTGCTATATATTGCATGTTGTAGTAACAATGCATCAAGTTTTTGGCGCCGTTGCCGGGGATTGAGTTTTAAGTTAACATTGAGTTTTTCTATAGTTAGCTAGATTGGAGTTTTAATTTTTGTTTTCATCATTGTCTGCTTTACTCTTGTTTTTAATTTTCAGTTGGTTTGTGATCTCACTTTCTTTCGTTTTATTTTGTGCAGTTTATGCGAAGAGCGAGACGTCAGCCAGTGGTTTCTATTGATCTTAAAATTGAGAGAACCGCCAGACGACTTAACAGAGAGAGAAGAGAAAGAGAGGATTTAGTGGTTGATTCAGAAGAAATAGTTGTTGAAATGGCAGAACCAGAAAACAAGACACTAAGGGAATTCTCAGTTCCCACGGTTAATGGCAGTGGGTCGAGTATTACTAGGCCTACGGTGCAAGCCAACAACTTTGAGATTAAGCCGGCAATCATTCATATGATCCAGTAGTCGGTAAGGTTTAATGGTGATTTGAAGGAAGATCTGAATCAGCATATTGCGAACTTTTTGGAAATTTGTGACACCTTCAAGTTGAACGGAGTGTCAGATGACGCCATTAGGTTGAGGTTATTCCCATTCTCATGGGGGATAAAGCAAGGGGTGGTTAATGGCACTACCATCGGGAACATCACAACATGGAATGATCTAGCACAGAAGTTCCTGACCAAGTTCTTCCTCCAGCAAATCAGCAAAACTGAGAAATGATATCACATATTTCTACAAGATGAATCGAGTCATTGTATGAGGCTTGGGAGAGGTACAAGGAATTATGAGGAAATGTCCCCACCATGGGTTGCCAGTTGGCTTCAAGTCCAACATTCTAAATGGACTGATGGGTAACGTGCAAACCATGGTGGATGCAGTATCAGGAGGAGCCTTGCAGAATAAGACACCAGAGGAGGCTTACGAGTTGCTTGAGGTTTTGGCAAGCAACAACTATCAGAGACCAAATGAGAGAGCAATTCAAGAAAATCTATTGGTCTTTGATAATCTCGTAAATTATACAGTTTTTTTATGATCTCTTTGTCGGATTTCAATTACTTTCTAGTGCATTTTACCTGAATTGGGTGCGTATATCTATTTTGTGTTTCAGGTTTAAATGGACTCTTTAGCAAATAAAGGCAAAACTTGGCAGTTTTGACTCAGAATTGAAGGATTCCAGAAGTAAGAGAGTTCCGGAGTAGGACAATGCGCGATGAAGCTTGTTCCAAGGAGAAGAGTCGAAAATCGAAGAATCGGACGAAGAGGCAAGCAGAGTGGCAGTTCTGTAAATTTCGAAACTTTTGATGGAGCTTCGCCCCGGCGAAGAAATTATCTTCGCTGGGCGAAGTTGGGCAGAATTAGTTTTGGTTTTCATTCTTCGCCGCGGCGAGAATTCCTCTTCGCCGCGGCGAAAGTCAAAAATTTAAGTTTTGTTAACGCACAGTTTCGTGTGTTTTTGTTTTGAACTGGGTTTTTAGGACTAGGTATAAAAGAAAAACATTAACTTTTAGAGGGAGCTTGGGCAGTAAAAGGAGCCGTCTTTTACAATTTTAGGGAGAAAAACTTGTATTTTTTGGATTGTGAAGGGGACATTCGGATTGCATCAGAGAAGATTGTTTTTGGGGGGTTTCTATTCCTTCATCTCAGTTTCAATGCTATTCTGTTTACTTTTGATTCGTTTTATTTGTAAGTTAGCTAGAACTAATCTTTTATGGGTTAGGGTTTGATTTTAGTTTGGATTTGAGATGGGTTGAATATATGTTTATGCTATTTTCATGTGAATAAGTTGTGGTTGTGTGTACTCTGAAATTAATGTTGTATGTGATGAACATGATGAGATTGAGAAATAATTCATGTTAAGCTTCATGGGTAATAACCATTATAGATTGGATGCTAGAGATAGATTCAAGAATTAATGAAGTCAATTTAGGATTCTTGTGCTTCATGATTTAGAATTGTTAACCTCAAATTGTTGGGTGCGGAATGTTAATAATGATGAATAGGAAAACATAGCCCGAGAGGGTATGTTATCATATAGTGAATCCGATTTACAACCACTGCATGCGAATGTGAAAATAGTGTAACTGTAGGTATAACCCATAAATAATCCAAACGAAGTCAAAACCTACCCCGTTTTACTATGAATCTTTGTGTTCCATTTGTTTCCCTTTTAAGGATTAATTCTTGTTAGATTTTATTTTGTTTTCTTTACATACAATTTGCTCACACAATCCAAGATTTCGGTTGCTTCAACTTGTTAACGTTAGGGACTTAGTGCTTTGTACCAGTCCTCGTGGGAACGATCCTACCCATCACTCTATTACTTGAGCGACTAGTGCACTTGCTAGTTTTGCTGTTGTAGAAAACACGCATCAAGTTTTTGGCGCCGTTGCCGGGGATAGTTTTTAAGTTACAAAGTCTTTTGAGTTAGCTAGATTGAAGTTTTTATTTTTGTTTCTAAATTTTGTTAGTGCTGTGATTCACTTTTCTTTCATTTGTGTTCATTCAGTTATGCGAAGAGCAGACGTCAACCAGTAGTTCCTGTTGACTGAGCTTGAGAGGACTGTAAGAAGACTAAATAGAGAGAGAAGAGAAAGAGATAACTTACTGCAGAAACGGAAGAAGTTGCAGTTGAAATGGCTGAACCAGAAAAATGGACACTGAGGGAATTTTCAGTTCCCACAGTGAACGGAAGTGGGTCAAGATTACGAGACCTACTGTACAAGCTAACAACTTCGAGATCAAGGGCTATCATCCAGATGATCCAGCAGTCGGTAAGATTCAACGGCGATTTGAAGGAAGATCCGAATCAGCACATTGCAAATTTCCTGGAAATTGCGACAACTTTAAGTCGAATGAGTGGAGTGTCGGATGATGCTATAGGCTGCGTTTATTCCTTCTCATTGGGAGATAAAGCAAAGGGGTGGTTAATGGCATTACCACCGGGAACAATTACAACATGGAATGAGCTGGCACAAAAATTTTTGACCAAATTCTTTCCTCCAGCGAAGTCAGCGAAGTTGAGAAATGATATCACATCATTTATACACAGACGATGCGAGTCGTTGTACGAGGCTTGGGAAAGATACAAGGAATTGATGAGGAAGTGCCCACATCATGGTTTGCCAGTTTGGCGCAAGTCCAAACATTCTATAATGGGTTGATGGGTAATGTGCAAACCAGGGTGATGCAGCTTCAGGAGGAGCTTTGCAGAATAAGACACCTGAAGAGGGGTAGAGGTGCTTGAGGTTTTGCGAGCACACAACTACCCAAGACCGAATGAGGAGTAACAACGAGGATCTTGGGTCTTCATGAAGTAGATGCTTTACAGCCATCTCAGCCCAACTCACTGCACTTCAAAAACAGTTGGGAACTATGCAGGTAAACTCTATACAAGCACCTCAACTAACATGTGATTTTTGTGCAGGAAACCATGTGAGCAGCGAATGCCAAGTCGGAAACACATTTGCACCGTCGTCTTCATCAACGGAGCAAGTAAATTACTTGGCAGGAAATCAAAGACAGCCGAACAATCCGTTCTCCAACACATACAATCCAGGGTGGAGACATCATCCGAATTGGCTTGGGGAAACAAAACCAACAGGGTAATCAATGGAACCAGAGGCAAGTTCCAAATAACCAGCCAGGGGTGAACAATCAACCGGGAGATCCAAAGATGTCGAAGTTGGAGGATTTGTTCGGTAAATTCATGCAAGAGTCTACAGGGTTCATGAATGAGACGAGGACAAACTTTAGAAACCAAGGGGGGTCCATTCGGAATTGAGGTACAAATGGGCAATTGGCCGAGAAGCTGAATGATAGACCACAGGGTTCTCTACCTAGCAACACAGTGACCAACCCACGTGAACAAGCAAATGCAAACATTTTGAGAAGTGGGACAGTTTTAGAAGAAGTAGGCCAGCCTACGAAAGAAGGAGAGCAACCCGGAAAGGAAGAGTATGAAGAGAGAATGGTAGAAGAGATTATCTGTGAAGAGAATTCAGGTGCTTTAGGGGAAGAGAACAAGAGAGAGGATGAAAGGAAAAAGAAGAAGGAGAAATTGCCATTCCCCGAGATACCACCAGAATTAGCTCATCACACTCACCCGTGCCTTTCCTCAGAGATTGAAGAAGAAGAATCAGGATAAGCAATTTTCGAAATTCATTGAAATTTTTAAAAAATTGCATATTAACATTCTTTGCAGATGCAATACAGCAAATGCCGAGCTATGCGAAGTTCCTGAAGGAGATACTGTCGAACAAGAGGAAATTAGAAGGAGAGAAACGGTGATGCTAACGGAAGAGTGTAGTGCAATCCTCCAAAAGAAATTACCCCCAAAGCTCAAAGATCCAGGGAGTTTACATTCCTTGTGTTATAGGGGATATTTTTGATGTGGCTTTGTGATTAGGAGTAGTATAAATTTGATGCCTTTTTTGTTTTCAGGAGATTAGGGATCGGTGAAGTGAAGCCAACGACAATGGCGTTGCAACTAGCGGATCGGTCGATAAAGCATCCGAGGGGGATAGTTGAAGATGTGTTAGTGAAGGTGGGGAAAATAATATTTCAGCGGACTTTGTAGTGCTGGACATGGAAGAGGATAAGGAGATTCTCTCATTTTGGGCCGACCATTCTTGGCCACGGGGAGAGCACGATTGACGTGGGAAGGGAAGTTGCTGTTAAGGGTTCAGGATGAAACAGTGACTTTTATGTGTTTGATGCGATGAAGTTTCCGTCGGAAGCGGATTCATGTTTTAGTGTGGACGTGGTGGATGAACTCATTGTGGAGTCCATGGAAGAAACACGTCCAGAATTGCCTCTAGAAGCGTGTATAGCAAAATCGAAAACGTAGAGGTTGAAGACTCAGCGAGGAAACGACTGTGCTAGAATGTTAGAAGCACTCCAACCAATTGAGGAGAGTCAAGATGCAGAATTTGGGAATTGACTTTGACAAAGAGAAGGCAAAGGAAAATAAAAGAAGCTCCAAGGCTTGAACTGAAACCTTTACAGATCACCTCAAATAGTCTATCTTGGAGATTCAGATACTTATCCGGTGATTATTAGGCAGAATTGAATGCCTACAGGAAGAGAAGTTGATTAGAGTATTGAGGGAACATAGACTGGGATTGGATGGACCATTGCGGACATTAGAGGCATATCACCTCATTTTGCATGCATAGATTTCATGGAAGACGACTTTAAGCCGAGGGTGCAACCACAACGGAGATGAATCCTTCAATGAGGAAGTGGTGAGAAAGGAGGTTGTGAAACTCTTGGATGCGGGGATCATCTATCGATTCCGACAGTCCATGGGTGAGCCGGTACAAGTTGTTCCAAAGAAAGGAGGGATTACCGTTGTGAAGAATGAGAGTAATGAGTTGATTTCAACAAGGACGGTAACGGGTTGGAGAGTGTGCATTGATTACCGTAAACTGAACGAGGCGACAAGGAAGGATCATTTTCCATTGCCCTTCATCGCAAATGTTGGAGGTTGGCAGGACATGCATATTACTGTTTCTGGAGGATATTCAGGATATAACCAAATTGCCATCGCTCCGGAGGATCAAGGAAAACGACCTTCACTTCCCCTATGGCACCTTTGCTTACCGAAGAATGCGTTTGGGTTAGAATGCACCAGCAACATTCCAAAGATGCATGATGTCCATCTTTGGAGACATGGTGGAAAGATTCATAGAAGCTTCATGGATGACTTCTCAGTTTTGGGTCATCTTTTGACAATTGTCTAACAAATTTGTCTTTGTTTTGCAGGATGCACAGAAACGAATTTGGTGCTGAATTGGGAGAAATGTCACTTCATGGTCCAAGAGGGAATTGTGCTCGGGCATGAATTTCCAAGGATGGGATTGAAGTTGATCGGGCAAAGACAGAAGTAATGAGAAGTGCCACCGCCATCAAATGTCAAAGCAGTCCGAAGCTTCTTAGGGCATGCGGGGTTTTACAGACGCTTCATAAAGGATTTCTCTAAAATCTCTAAACCCCTTTGCAATCTATTAAATAAAGATGTTGTTTTTGATTTTGATGATGATTGCACGATGCGTTCCTAACCTAAAGAAATTGCTAGTTTCTGCACCCATTATTGCAGTTCCTGATTGGGGACTGCCATTTGAACTTATGTGTGATGCTAGTGATTTTGCCTTAGGGGTAGTATTAGGCCAGAGAAAAGATAAAGTGTTGCATGTAATTCAGTATGCTAGCAAGACACTGGTTGACGCACAAAGAATTACACCACTACTGAAAAAAGATTATGGCTGTGGTGTTTGCTTTTGACAAGTTTCGTTCTTATCTTTTAGGTGCGAAGGTAATCGTTTACACAGACCATTCTGCACTCAGACACCTTTTGGCGAAGCAAGAGGCAAAAACTCGATTGATAAGATGGATTTACTATTCAAGAGTTTGAATTGGAGATTCGAGACAAAAAGGGTCGGAAAAGTGTAGCGGATCATTTGTCAAGAATTGAGAGACAAACAAGGGAGAGAGGTGGAAATGCCAATTTCAGAAACATTTCGGATGAAAAGTGATGAGAGTGGACGAAGCACCATGGTATGCGGACTTGCAAATTATCTTTCCTCAAGGGTGCTCCCAAGTGGTATGACATTTCAACAGAAGAGAAATTTCTCTGATTTAAAATACTATTTGGGAAGAGCCATTCCTGTACCGACAGTTACTGACCCAATGATAAGGAGATGTGTCCCGGAGGAAGAAATGGAGAGCATTCTAAGACATGTCATGAGAAGGAAGTGGGTGGCCATTTTGGAGGAGCTAGACAGCAGCGAAGGTGCTACCATCTGGGTTTTATTGGCCAACCCTTTTAAGGATTCATTCCGGATGATCAGGAGTGTGACCAATGTCAACGGATGGGGAGTATCTCAAAAAGAGATGAGATGCCGTTGAACAAAATCCTGGTGGTGGAAATTTTTGACGTATGGGGGATTGATTTCATGGGTCCTTTCCCAGTTCTTATGGGAACACTTTTATTGGTAGCTGTGGACTATGTGTCTAAATGGGTTGAGGCCGTGGCATTGCCAACGAATGATGCTAGGTGGTGATAAATTTCGTGAGGAAGAAATATTTCTCAAGGTTTGGTGTGCCACGGGCGATTATTAGGTGGAGGATCACATTTTTGCAATAGGCAATTGGATGCCCTGCTGAGCAAGTACGGAGTGACACAAGAGTGGCAACACCCTACCATCCACAAACGAGCGGACAAGTGGAACTGTCAAATAGAGAACTGAAGGGAATTTTAGAAAAGACAGTCAATGCCTCGAGGAAGGATTGGTCAAGGAAGTTGGACGATGCGTTATGGGCTTATCGCACTGCATTCAAAACCCATGGTATGTCTCGTTCAGATTGGTGTATGGGAAAGCATGTCACTTGCCGGTGGAACTTGAACACAAGGCATATTGGGCCGTCAAACAGTTGAACATGGATTTGAAAGCCGCGGGAGAGGGAGAATGCTGACTTTGAACGAGCGGATGAGTTGCGTCTGGAAGCATATGAAAATGCCCGGAACTAAAGGAAAACAAAAAGGTGGCACGACAAGCACATTCGGGTGAAGGTTTTTGAAGTTGGGCAGAAAGTTTTGTTGTTCAACTCTAGACTTAGGCTTTTCCGGAAAACTTAAGTCTAGATGGTCCGGACCATTCACGATAAGGAGGATACATGCATCCGGAGCATGGAGTCACACATGAAGAAAAGGGCACTTTCACGGTTAATGGACAGAGGTTGAAGCCGTACGTTGAGGGGGGGATGAGCTGCAAGTTCATCCAATCCGCTGGACATCTACCTAAAGGATGGAAAGAGTCAAGCTTCCGACTATAAACAAGCGCTTCTTGGGAGGCAACCCAAGCGTTTTACTTTTTGATTTTAACTTTTGTTGTTTGAAATTTCTTATTTCATTATGAGTAGGTATAAATTTGATGATATTTTGTGTTCAAGTGTTTCAGGTGAAGTCTAGAGCAAAGGAGGTATCAAAAATTTTCAGACTTCGCGGGGCGAAGAACATTTCTTCGCCGCGGCGAAGAGACTGAAGAAACCCAGGTTTGCTACTGGAGAGTTTCGCCCCGGCGAAGAAATTGTTTTCGCCGCGGCGAAGTAAAGGTAAAAATT